TCTCCCCCAAAGGCATTTATTTCAACAGCTTTCCCTGGGCACTGGGGGTCTAACTTTAACATCTCTTACATTTAAGCGGGTATCTTCTTGTTCTGCTTGCAATTCAAAGGCAAGAAACTGCTCCATTCACCGCCCCCCTTCCAAAGACCTGCCCTAAATATAAGATAAGCTGGTGAGGCCTGGAAGTCAGGATGCCTGGGTCCCCATTCTGGCTCTGGATGGAGCTTGCTGTATGACCCAGGCCTCTGTCTGCAACACTTTGAAATGGGAAAGAGGGGGGCCCAGGTGGCTGCTAAAGTGCTCACAGTCAGGAATAGAGGAAGGTGGGGGTTTCTCGTCTCCAGGAGTCAGCTGAGAGGGCCCCCGACGAGGGGCAGCTGCCCCTTGGCTGAGAGAGACCTGGCTGGCTTTGCAAAGTACCTTCCCCAGAGGCACTGGCAGGGATGGTCTCAGAAGGGCATACAGACATGCTCAGGAAGCAGCGTTTAAATGTTGACAATGGCCTTCCCTTACAGAAGGAATGGAAGAGGGGCATCCCAGACACCGGGGAAGGGGGAAGGGTAGGGGTGGAGCGGAGAGGTAGCTGGGGCAGGCGGCGGGGGTGGGGGGGTACCTAAGAGGTGACCACCACAGAGAAAAACTGGGGCATGCAGGTTGGAAGACAGGCCGAAGAGATGGTCACAGATGAGCAAAGACCAAGGATGACATTATAGGTGTAGAGGCCAAGTTCCAAAAAGGGCTATAGAATAGGGGTAATTAGGGGGACAGAGTGGGCACTGATGGACAAGTATAGGGGGTACTAATGAGGAACAGAAGGGCACGACGGTTAGGGAGGAGTCTATGGGTTCCAAGGCCATGGCCATGCTGATATCAGGCAGTGGCACTGAACACAGAGGGAGAGGATGAGATCCAGAGCCCCGCAGGAAGGGCCAACAGAGGGCTGGCAGCAGGCAAAGTCCTCAAATGAGCCTCTGCCTGTGCTGTGCACCTTGGCCGGCCCCAGGGACCCAGAGAGAGCTGGCATCAGACCCAAGGAAAACGGAGTTGGCATGCGCAACCTCTGGCCAGGCCTGGAGGGGTGGGAGGGAAGACTGCGAAGGAAGAACCCTCCCCAGAAGCACGAGCGTTGGAAGCCTTGGCAGGCTTCAAACTGCGGCTTCTCTGCCCGCCACCAGGGGGTGCCCCTGCAGCTCGGGGAGACCTCGGGGGACACCGGGTTAGCTCCTCCCGCCGCAGCCGGGCATGGAGGTCTCCAGCCGCGCCCCCGCTGGGGCAGGGGCCCGAGAGTGCCAGAGAAGAGGGAGAGGGGAGGTCAAGTCTCGAGGCACTAGCGAGACGGGTCCGGGCCGTGCCCACCGCGGGCCGCCGGGCACCCAGCGCACCCACACAATCCACAACTCCC